TATTGACCGATGTCTTTCGAGGGATCCATCTACTCCTAATACCCCTATTGCGACAGCGTACTTATTTGTTTTATTGTATTACATTCGTCATCCCGCGTCCTACAAATTAATATATATATACTTACCATGTATAAGATGAATGCAATTTCGACACTCACGTATCTTAAGAATGCAATTTTATTACAATGATAAAAATAATATATGGCAACTCTCTCTTATCGCTCGATAAACTTTCTCTCTCTTGATAATACTCGTATCTGTGTGCGATGTGAATTACGTATATATATATATATATATGTACACGCGCAAACTCTCTCTATCTGGGCCGCCCCCGCTTCGTTATCGATCGACGCCGGCTAAGCAAGAGCTAGCTAGTTCATACTGGTCTGCCCCCTGCTCGTCTTCTCTCTATGTGTGTGGTATTTTTTTTTCTCTCTTTCTCTGGTTGCTACATCTTATACTTACTCCTGTGTAGGTCTGTACTCTCTCAGGTGCACCAAGCAAGGACACCTGCGCGCATAACTGCACTGCTAATACTTGGTGCTGATGGTCTAAAGATAATACCATGCATTATTTTATGTTACCTCCCTACCACCCATATATTATATTAATACAGTATATTGCACACATCGCCGTGCAAGTAGGCACTGAAAGGCAACTCTTTTATTGTTATTATTTTTTTTATTTCGCTGCATACACCTCCTTCGTATACACACAAGTGTGTGTAAAAACTTAAGTACTCTTTTATTTTTCATCTCTATCTTTCTTTCCTCTGTCTGAGTAGATATAACTTTTTTAATTTGCACAATTGCACACTTGGGTATAATGTGATACTCGTGTATATTTATATAGTAATGAGTATATTATGACAGGATTCCCTTCTTTCTTGTGATAAATATCTCACGTTACATGTTATAGCTTATTCTTATACTGTACGCGGTTTTAACACATCTGTTCCACGGCTACTTCTACTATAACTACAGGATAATTTTTGCTACCAATTTTTTTTTCATCGATAAAACTACCGATGGTACGTAACGATACCTGGGTATAAAGATAATACATTAAAAAAAAATCATTTTTTCATAACAATGCATATTGTAATGAACATTAGTTATTTTTCATACGCTTACGCATAAATGTACATACGTATATCTACAATTATTATAATATACATCGTATTAATTCATGTACAAGTCTGCACACGCAGGTGCTTTTTATCCTCATTTACATCAACTACGTACGTTTTTTTCCCCCTTTTACACATACGGTATATTTCATGTATACTTGCTATAACTTTTCCATGCGCACATTATATATATCAACGAGAAAATAACAAAATGAACATAATACATCCTCTGAGAAACACAAAAAGTATACTACATTCAATTGTAAGTACACGCACTACCATACACAATAGGCATATATTTATTATTATTGGTATGAAAAAAAAAAAAAAAAAAAAAATCCGATTCAAACATCAAACGCGATAAAGATCATATATATATCGTATTGGTTTGTCCCTCCTCAAAGTCCATCGGCTAATTGCGCGTCTCGGCCGTCGCCCTCATCAACGAAATCCTCGAGCCAATCTATTTGGTCGTAAATGCGGGTGTGAACATCAGGGTAGCCCATGCCGCACGGCACGCCCCAAGAGGCAATAGCGTACAAAATTCCATGAGCCACCAGCGGACTTCCGGCATCCCCCTAATACATAACAACGCAACGTAATTTACAGGTATGATGTAATTTATTGTACACATATAGAGATAATAAAAATCAATTGATTTCCCGCTATGTATAAAATACACACAGACACAGTAGTATGATGGACTTACATAGCACGTGCCTTGACCCAAAACCGGGCTCAGGGTGCAAATGTTCGAGGCAGTGACGCTCGGAAAGGCCACCCGGCACTCGTCGATCCCGACAACCGGCACCCGCATAACCTTCAATTGGTAATGGCCGCTCATCGAGTAACTGGCGTTGTTCCCCTGCTGTTGTTCGTTATACCGATCGCTGGGCCAACCGGTGAGCGCGAGCTCAGGAGCCATGTCGTCGTCACCGCGCCAGGGCAGCCCGACGGGTCGCACGTCCGGAGTGTACGCAGCCCCGGGCTCGCCCAGCCCGACGAGAGCCACGTCGTGCCTGTGGTCCCGGCTGTCGTAGCGCGGGTGCAGCCGGGCCTCCCGGGCGTGGTAAGCCACCCCACCGCTGACGAGGCTGTTGCTGCCGAGGACGACCGTGAAACTGCCGAGGTCGTGTTTCGAGATGCAGTGGGCCGAGGTGACGAGCCATCGCCGGCTCAACAGAGCACCCCCGCACTTGTGCCTGCCGTGGACGCGCAGGGACACCTGGTACGGGAACTCACCGGCTTTGGCGTCCGTGGCAGCACCGACCAGTCTCGGGGCCAGTCCCAGATGACGTCGAGTCGCCTCACCTGCGACTGCTCTTAATTGCATTGCCAGAGACGCGCACAATATAGTGTTTTATCACATCAAATAGGTATATGTACTTACCATCGTGTAGCACAGCGCAGGTTAACGCGGTGACGAGGAGGAGCAGGTTCGGGGTGCGATTTGTAATTATCATGGTCAACTGGGGGCGATTGGCTCTTGGTGATCACCTTTTATCATCGGGAACCCCCCTGTACCTCCATCGCCCCTGCCCCGCGGGTGTACTTAATGTTTTATTGACCGATGTCTTTCGAGGGATCCATCTACTCCTAATACCCCTATTGCGACAGCGTACTTATTTGTTTTATTGTATTACATTCGTCATCCCG